CCTCGATCTGCTGGGCTCTGGCGATCCTTTTGCCTTAGCCTTCCAAGTAACCGGAACTACAGATGCACACTACCATGCCTGGCTAATTTTGATTTATTGTAGAGATGAAGTCTCGCCAAGTTGCCCAGGTGGGTCTTGAAACTGCAGGCTCAGGCAATCCACTTGCCTTAGCCTCCCAAAGTGCTGGGATTACAGGCTGAGCCACCGAGCCCAGCTGGAATTTTTTTTTTTTTTAATCTTTATCCTCTTACTAGCCTGGAAGCAGATTAGCTTTCAAAATTGAATGTATGCTTCCTACTGAATGCATATCATCTTCATACTGTCATAAATCATAAAATCATAAATCAAATAAAATAATAAGTTGAATCCTTGCAAGTCTGGACCACTTGTATATATTTTTTCTTTTTGTCCCTCAGCCTTTTGTCATCTCTTTCTGCTTCCATTCTGCTTGTCTCTGCCCAGTGAACTCTGCCCCATCTCCTCAATTCCAGCTCAGGTGTTACCTTCATAAAATTTTTCTCATTCCTCCTCACAAACATATATAATTAGTCATTTCTCTATGCTGGTTCATTTCATTTTTTATTCCACAATTTTTTTTTTTGAGTCGGGGTCTCACTCTGTCGCCCAGGCCTCCTAAAGTGCTCAGATTACAGGCATGAGACACTGTGACCAGCAGAACATATTTATCTGTCTAGAAAACTATCTTGTGTACACTGCTAGTCAATCCCCACCACTATGGCTAACCTCAGTTTTGATTTCTGGCATCATAGATTCATTTTCTTATGTAAATAGATTCATCCATTGCAAACTTCTATGTCTGACTTCTTTTACTCAGCCTTATCTGTTTCTTGTGTATCTAGTTCATTCTTTTTTTTTGTTGCTGAGTCTGTTGTGTAAATATCCCACAATGTCTTTAGCCATTCTCCTGTTGGTGACTATTTACATTATTATTCATTTGAGGCTATTATGAATAAAACTCTGTAAACATTATTGTGAAAGTCTTTTTGTGGACATGTTTTCTTTTCTTTTTTTTTTTTTTTTAATTTGGGACGGAGTCTCACTCTGTCGTCCCGGCTAGAGTGCAGTGGCATGCTCATGGCCACCGCAGCCTCGATCTCCTGGGCTCAGGTGATCCTTCCACCTCAGTCTTCCAAGTAGCTGGAACCACAGGCACGTACCACCATGCCTGGCTAATTTTTCTTGACTTATTGTAGAGATAAGGTCTCACCATGTTGCCCAGGCTGGTCTTGAACCCGTGAACTCAGGTAATCCTCTCACCTCAGGTTCCCAAAGTGCTGGGATTATAGGCATGAGCCACTGCACCCGGCCTGTTTTCATTTTTCAAGGAAATACAGTTGGCCCTTAAATAATGCAGGGATTAGAGGTGCTGACCCCTGTACTATCAATAATCTGTGTATAACTTTGACTCCCCCAAAACTTAACAACTAATAGTCTACTGTTGACTGGAAGCCTTACCAATAACATAAATAGTCAATTAACACACATTTTATATGTTCCTGTGTAATATATACTGTAATCTTTTTTTTTTTTAAGTCAGAGTCTCACTCTGCCACCCAGGCTGGAGTGTAGTGGCTTGCTCACAGCCACCCCAGCGTCAACCCACTGGGCTCAGGTGATCCTTCTACCCCAGCCTTATAAGAAAGAACTACAGGTGAGTGCTACCACACCCAGCTACTTTTTTTGTTATATTGTAGAGATGAGGTCTCACCAAGTTGCTCTGGTTGGTTTCAAACCCCTGGGCTCAGGCATTCCTCTTGCCTTAGCCTCCCAAAGTGCTGGGATTATAGACTTGAGCCACTGCGCCCGGCCTATATACTGTATTCTTACAATAAATTAAGCTAGAGAAAAGAACATATAATGACTGGGTGCAGTGGCTCTTACCTGTAATCCCAGCACTTTGGGAGGTGGAGCCGGAAGTATTCCTTGAGCCTAGGAGTTCAAGACCAGCCTGGGCATCATAGTGAGACTTCATCTCTATAAAAAATACAAGAATAAGCTAGGTATGGTGGTAGGGGCCTGTAGTCCCAGCTACTCAGGAGACTGAGGTGGAAGGATTGTGTGAGCCCAGGAGGTTGAGGCTGCGGTGAGCTGGAATCGTGCCACTGCATACAACCTGGGCAAGAGTGATAGCTCAACTCAATAAAAACAAAAGAATATATTATTAAGAAAATTATGGTCGGGCTTGGTGGCTCATCCTGTAATCCCATGCCTTTGGGAGGCTGAGGTGAGTGGATTGCCTGAGTCCGCGGGTTCG